GTAATTCCTTTTATGGTTGTTGAGCAAGATATAAAAAGTCGACATAATAATTCTTGTATTTTGTGAGCTACATTCGATTGGATTTCAAAGTCATCAGGGAATTTGTCAGCAGCCCAATATTTAGCGCTATAAAAAATACTTGAATCACGGATATGGCGTAGAAAACTTGGGTAGTCAAAAGTTGCCGCTGTTAATGATTTAATTGATTGAACACCAATTTCGTCTCGCATATCTTGAGATAAACATTTAAGATAAGTATCTATTATTTTTACATTTTGATCTTTTTTATTGCAAAATTCAAAAGGATTTCGCCATAATTCAGAGATCACTGAAATACACCAATGACGATTAATCAAGATGAAGGTATATTGAGACTTTAAATCATCATCCAGTTCTTTGAATATTGATTTAAGGCAAAGGTCTGGAAGAGAAGCTGCCATACTAAATGTTTGGTTCGTATTGTTACTAGGAGGTCCTTGTACGTATATAATTTGATATTTAATAATGCTGATTGTAAGAAGCTTTATGGATGTATGATGCAGTCCGTCTAGATATTTATAGTTGGCGACAAAATATTGTTATTTAAAATAGCGAATTATTGTCTTTTTTTTTTTTTTTTTTAGAAACTTTGTACTATGTCCCAAGGACTATATATACACAATTATGACCTTTTGATCTTTCTAATAGACTTGCTCTACTTGATCTAGAACAATAACATTTAACTATAATATGTTTTTTTTTTTAACTCACCTAAAAAAGAAAAATTTTTTTTTTGAAATTGATATTGGTTAGTGTCACACTGTTATTATATCACAAAATTGATCTTCTCTAAAACCCTGCGTCTTATGATCATTGGTTCTTTTTTTAGAAACTTGATGCTACACGATAAGAATTTCATTATAGTCACATGGTAACACCATTTGTAATGCTGAGTTTTTTGTTTTACCGCTACCGTAAACAAGTAAATTTGAATTATAGTAAGTACGTTACGTAAGTACAAGTGAAGTTTATATTCTACTAAATTTGATTGGCTCGTAGTACGTATGTCGTACGCGTATCTGATATCGATATGATATCACAGACATTGGTTGACAATTACCGAATACCCGATCCAGTTTTATAGGTACGGTATGCAATGCATCGGACTTGTTAACCAAGTATACATATGTAGTTACAGCGAGCAGTAAATGTTCATATCCCTCTTTATCCCCCCAGATTTCCAGATCCTGGCCAATCAGAGGAAATACCGTATGTACTGGACGTTCTACCATTGTCTGAGTGCTGTGGAACAATCAATAAACATCCCTAGCATCGCCCATATATAGCGACGTCATATTTTCAAATTGTATACGTATACAGCTGATAGTGTACATATTCTTAATTTACGAATCGATTAATAATCACTCAACTTTATCATTATATTTTACAAGTGATGTCAGCTATATATTTTTTTACGTATGGGCGATGCTAGGTTTGCTTGGAAATCATTACATAACGATTCTGGAGGGTCTGATCAATGTAATATATCGATATAGAAATATATTAAATTTATTAAATTTATTGTAAGCCAAATAAATCTTATCAACACATGTTTTTGCATGCTTTGAGCGCCCAAAATCGTGATTGTTCATCCTTGAATAGAAATTAGTCTGATACGTACTCTTATTCTTTGTCCTCAGCCCCTTTGTTTTTGGCAAGTTCGGGCTAGATTTTCAATTCCATATGTGTTGTCATTCTTGATTTTTATCAATAACCCCGATCATACCATCCCTATTTATGCAGTGTGATAATCAGTTACCATGTGTGATATCAGACGAATTTAAGACTTTGGGGTTAGGGTGTAGGTTTATTTAAATTTCTGAATATCAAACTATTAAAAATCTGGTTTTACGAAATATCAAATTAGAAACCACGACAGTTGGTGATTTAAAAAAACTTGTAAAAGTATTTAGGAAATTATTTAGTCCTATATTTACCTTAACGCAACACCATTTTCGTAATGTTGATTACGGTATTTAAAAGTTGCATTCGATTTAATAAATGGTTAAAATATTAAATTCATTTCCCTTTAAAAAGATACATTGAAACTGTTCATGGATCAAAAGTAATCGATTAAAGTAATCGATTAATTATTAATTGGTTTTTTCATTACACGATATTACTAACTTACTGTATCAATAAACCTAGACTAAATTTTAATAATAAATCTTGATAATGAAACTGCTTTATTAATTTTCTGTAATATAGATAATTTATATTATACTTACATTTTAAACAACATTCTTTTTCTAAATCCATTATTATAACATTTATATAATTAATTTATTAGAAAATAAAACAGAATTGTTTTTTTTTAATTATGAAGCTTATGAAGCTTATAAATTATATTCTAATGTTATGAAATAGAAATAAATAAATAGTGTTTTTATATAATTGAAAAAATACAAATTTTATTTTATACAGTATATTAAAAACTTTTGCTTATATATTGTTGTGCGTCAGATTGCAGCTGACGCACGTCAGATGACTACCAGATGACCAGCATTAAATGATCTGCAAGAATTGGCCTAAATTACCCTGTGATTTTCACTCTAACCCTAATCCTAACTCAGGCCGGACGTCATCTGACGCAAGGATCCATCTGAGGCATGACATATCTAAATATCAAATACAAAGACAATAACTCATCATATGAAATTATTCACAAATGCTTTTCGGCTGAATTTCATTGACTGTCAAAAATCAGCTAATAGTAACGATCCAGGATATTCTGGCCTGGCTATTGTTATGAGTATGGAATCGAATGAGAATAAGGCATTCATTCATTCATTATCGAAAATCCGCAGAGATGAACAATCCCGACAGAATGTATCAAGTTGGTTATTGTTATGACTTAGAAATTGGGGTTGATATGGAGAATAAGCATTTGTATATTATCTGAAATCAGCTGAGACATGTAATTCTATGGAAAATTTTAAAATACGGATCTGGTACGAAAAAGATGATGAATTCGATAACTGGATTAAAATGTACAGTCGACTCTGGATATAACGAACTCAAAATTTTAAACTTTCATAATAGTTCGGTATAGAGTGTGTCATAGGTTCTTAAGAAAACATAGTGATTTTTTATAACGAGCTTTTTTTCTTTTCAAAACCGTCAATTCGTTATAGAAAGAGTTGACTGTATGTTATTAATTTTTATTGATATACTGTATTTGAAATAAGAAATTTTTATAACTACTTAATTTTTGAGTAAGTATAATAATAAATAAGTGTAGCATCCAATAACAGTTTTATTTGGCAGAATACCGTGATCCTTCGGATCACGGTATTCTACCACAAATCCAACATCCAAAATCTCGACGGGTCATAATACTGACATCACGCGACGTGACAATTAAAATTTAAAGTCTGACAATAATTGTTAATGTGATTATTAATCTTTAAATATTAATTGTCACGTCGGGATTATGGTCTCGAGATTTTGGATGTCGGTAGAACCGATCGTCATACGTAGTGCGCCATTTTTGGTGAACCGCCTAAAATTATGAGCTTAGTAAAAAAATTTTTTATATTGAAAATAGTTTTAATTTTAAATAAAATTATTATTTTAAAAGTCAAATTATCTTATTTTAAAAATATTTTATGAATTTCATATCTATTATTTAATTTTATTATAACCAAAGTTAACCGCACCATAATACCCATATCTACCTTATATTATTAAATTTTTAAATTTTAGTCTTTAAACTTATTAAACAAACTACAAAAATCTTTACAAATTTAAATAGAAATAATTTATTTTAGCTGCTGGCTACATGTAGCCAATAGTGTGTAACCATGCATGTATAACATTTACGTTCATATGTACGTACAGTACGTAAGTGCCAATATGAGTTAGTACATAACTGTGTAACATATATAAATATCATTGTAATTAATCCAATCTCTTTTTCTTTACAGCACAAGGTATGTTAACGATAACGTTAATGGCAATTTTATTAAGTGAACGTTACAATATCTAATTAGAATTTTTATTATTCAATACAGTTAAATGAAAGTTTAAGCCATGCTTTTTTTGGCATACCTTCAATTTATAATGGTGCGACCAGCAAAATGAGCATTACAAGGTAGAAAGTTTTTTTGGCTATTAAAATATGTTTGTTTAATAAGTTTAAAGACTAAAATTTAAAAATTTAATAATATAAGGTAGATAT